CCATCCATTCATTTTTTACATGACCTAGACTCAGATATTATTTTTATTCTTTATGCATATTATTATTTAATTATTAATAAATTTTAACGTAATGTGTCCTGTCAAAGGTAATTGCTTATATAGCTAAGCGAATTTGATAGCCAAGACTTTGTTTGATAATCCATGGTATATAAAATATTAGCAAATTTCCCTATAGGGAAGTAGCTATTACCGTAGGTCTCATGGTAAGACCTAGGCCCGGGACCGATTTACTTTTTCATTTTGATGTCCGCAGAGGAAAAAACACCATTCGTTCAAATTCAGTCTAGTAAAAAAAAATTAAAATTAAAAGTGGCTGGATGGCATGTTTTACAAGAAACTTATTCCTACAGGTTATTTAAAGGAAATAATCCGACTCTAAATAAAAGAGTAAATTAATGGAAACATAGTACAGTAGTTTTATTTCCCTTAGGGAAGATAAATCTAAAATATTTCATATGACGCGGTTGAAGTATGAGCTCATTAATATTCATTTGAGCTGAATTAAAAAGACAGAACTAGTTTATTCCTGAATTATAATCAAATCTCCATGCGACTTTTCCCGTATTAAATCAACCTAAATCAATTTATTTTCTGGGTATTATTTATTTCAAAACTCAGTAAGCATTTCTTCTTCTGTTAAATAAAAAGATAATACTTTTCATGGTAGCAGTATGCCGTCAATATTATTGTTTGTTTTTAACCACACAAACTTAAAAAAACCTTGGAAATGCGGTCTATATTATTAATCATTTTGAATTTTTTTCAAGAATAATTTTGAGCAATTGTTGTATAGCTTTTCAAACATTTGGAGTGTTTAAATTGCACTGCAGAATAGCTTTTTATGAGACATTGTCTAACACTGGTAGTGAGCATACGAATTATGTTCTGCACACGTCCATTTATCGGCAATGATCCATTTACTATACAATGTATAACAAATTGTTATTTTATTTATTGTATATTTGTTGATTAAACTAAAAAACTAATAATTTACTGATAAAATATAAGGTATAAGGATGTAAGAGGGGTTTTCTGATACTGTGGATTGTATGTTTTGCCAAACCGCCTTAGCTTTGATAGATGTGAAATTGTTATCCAATTTACTTCAACCTGTTCATTCTAAAGGCACGTACTTTACTTGAATGCTTCAATAGTAGATTTTTCATTTAACGTGTCTTTAGTTGTAAAAATACAACTTTTGTCTCGGATGGAAAATACAAAAACTAAGAGTAGAATCATGAATTGATTGTCCCTCGCATATGTATCATTAATTTGTGCCAACAGTTATTTTCACTGTATTGGTTATAACAGTTTGATGAAAAAATAAATCAGTCAACATCAATTAATGTAACTGATTTGTGAAAGTAAATGGAAATTTATCATTAATATAACTATATTATGCACACATTACTATTTTAAGACAAACAAATACATAACATAACAAAATAACATGATTGTAATAAGAGATCAGTTTCAGTAGGCCATAGATTTTCACTAATAAATAATGACACTCTTTTTTAAATTTGTCATGCAAATATGATACTTGAAAACTCCTAATATTAACATAAGAAATCAAATTCAATATTTTAAAAAAAATTGTGAACTTAACCCAGTCGTAAAGCAGATTTAAATTGTAGAAGGGTTATCTGATTTGTCACGTCAATCTTCAATCCGTCATTTTGTTTGGTAAAAAAAAAAATAACATTGGCTATTTTATAAACCAAACCTACCCTTACTTAACTATTACAGCATTTCCACATAAAATAAACTAGGTGGCGTTCGCAGAGGCATCCACAAAATTGAGCGGAGTCATCAAGGGTTCATATTATATTGTTTTTGTCTTACTGCAGTAAAAACAGTATTTTTTCATGCATGCGCTGCGGGTCTAAAGTAGCATTTTTAATATTTAGGGAGTAAAAATCGTTTTTAGCCTCTATGGAGTAAAAATCAGCTGTTGTCAACTCAGTTGTAAATTTCGATTGTAAACGATTGCATGTATCGAAAATATGTATTGATTTGTGCTTCGTAATCATTTTTAACATATTACAGTCTACAGTCTCTTCCCGTAGCATTTTAGCATTGCAGATACATTAATGTAATTGCCAAAGACAGTTCCCACACTCTGCGCTGTTAGCCTTACTACTTCCTTCACCTGTTCCTACGTCGCGGATCTGTTTCCCTCTCTTCCCATAGCATTTTAAGATTGCAGATACCTGAATCTAATCGTCATAAACAGATCCCACACTCCAAACAGCTCGCCTTTACTACTTCCTTCACCACTTCTTACGTCGCGGACCTCTTTCCCTCCCTTCCCATAGCATTTTAGGATTGCAGATACCCTTATCTTATCGTCATAAACAGTTCCCACACTCCGGACAGCTCGCTTTGACTACTTCCTTCACCACTTCCTACGTCACGGGCCTGTTTCCCTCCCTTTCCCATAGCATTTTTGATTGCCCATACCCTTATCTAATCGTCATAATAGTTCCAACACTCCGGACAGCTCGCCTTGACTACTTCCTTCACCACTTCCTACGTCGCGGACCTGTTTCCCTCCCTTCCCATTGCACTTAAAGATTGCAGATACCTTAATCTAATCGTCATAAACAGTTCCCGCACTCCGGACTACTCGCCTTGACTACTTATTTCACCACTTCCTACGTCGCGGACCTGTTTTCCTCCCTTCCCATAGCATTTTAGGATTGCAGATACCCTAATCTAATCGTCATAAGCAGTTTCCACACTCCAGACTGTTCACCATTACTACTTCCTTAACCTCTTCATACGTCACGAACCTCAAGCTAGTGTCGTCATTTGATTATAGTGCCTGGGGACCGAGCTTTGCTCGGGGAAAATCATTAGTTCACTCTGAAAGCACCGTAGTATTGGAGATACATAAATCCACACATCTACATCCTACACAATTTCCTACGTCATGGACCTGTTTCCCTCCATTCCATTGCATTTAAAGATTGCAGATACAGTACCTTAATCTAATCATCATAAACAGTTCCCACACTCCGGACTACTCGCCTTGACTACTTCCTTCACCACTTCCTATGTCGCGGACCTGTTTCCCTCCCTTCCCATAGCATTTTAGGATTGCAAATACCTTTATCTAATCGTCATAAACAGTTCCCACACTCCGGACAGCTCACCTTGACTACTTCCTTCATCACTTCCTACGTCGCGGACCTGTTTTCCTCCCTTCCCGTAGCATTTTAGGTTTGCTGATACCTTAATCTAATTGTCATAAACATTTCCAACACTCCGGACAACTCGCCTAGACTACTTCCTTCACCACTTCTTACGTCACGGACCTGTTTCCCTCCCTTCCCATAGCATTTTAGGATTGCCCATACCCTTATCTAATCGCCATAAACAGTTCCCTCTCTCCTGACAGCTCGCCTTGACTACTTCCTTCACCACTTCTTACATCGCGGACCTCTTTCCCTCCCCTCCCATAGCATTTTAGGATTGCCCATACCCTTATCTTATCGTCATAACAGTTCCCACACTCCGGACAGCTCGCTTTGACTACTTCCTTCACCACTTCCTACGTCACGGGCCTGTTTCCCTCCCTTTCCCATAGCATTTTTGATTGCCCATACCCTTATCTAATCGTCATAATAGTTCCAACACTCCGGACAGCTCGCCTTGACTACTTCCTTCACCACTTCCTACGTCGCGGACCTGTTTCCCTCCCTTCCCATTGCACTTAAAGATTGCATATACCTTAATCTAATCGTCATAAACAGTTCCCGGTCTCCGGACTACTCGCCTTGACTACTTCCTTCACCACTTCCTACGTCGCGGACCTGTTTTCCTCCCTTCCCATAGCATTTTAGGATTGCAGATACCCTAATCTTATCGTCATAAACAGTACCCACACTCCGGACTGCTCGCATTCACTACTTCCTTCATATCACTTCCTACGTCACGGACCTGTTTCCCTCTATTCCCATAGCATTTTATGATTGCCTTTACTACTTCCTTCACTACCTTCCTACGTCACGGACCTGTTTCCTTCCCTTCCCATAGCATTTTAGGATTGCAGATACCTTAATGTATTCGTCATAAACAGATCCTAGACTTCGCACTGCTACCCTTGACTACAATGTATCGAGTAATCTTAAGTATAATCTTTGCTCAATATTAACAAGTGATGTTTTTCCTTTTGTACTGTATTTGTAATTTCCTAGTATACTGTGGGTAGTTGGCTTATTATGAACACATGCTAAAACTTCAAATCTTTTGTTTACTTTTTACTTGTTATTTAATTCAGCCAACATGGTTACCTAGCAACCCATAAGACTAATGTTAAGAAAATGTGATTTTCAGTTTCATTTTTCTACGGATTCCTGAGAGACTTTTTTAACGCCATATAGATGTTGGCACTCACCGATATGGTCTTTATCACCATGCAAAATTTGAAAACGATTGATTCAGCCGTCTAGGAGGAGTTTGCGTATTACGAAATGCATAAAAGTCGACGTATAAGAGCTTCGCTCGCTTCGCTCGCTCCGCTCAATAAATAACTTTTTGTAATATAAATTCAGAGACAACAGACCTCAGAGTTTTAGTAAATAGTTTTCCTTACGTAGATTATAAATTAGTAATATAATTAAGTTTGTATCGTATTTTAAAGTTTATACATTTAGAAAGCTTTGATTCAGATTGGGAATTGATAAGCTCTTCATCTGCACAGTGTCAGTAAAGTTAAACTTAGATTTAACAACTCGTTACACCATGTCAGAAATGACAGCATCAATCGGCCAAAGTTATTTTAAATTAAGTAGAAACTGTCTACCTGAAAAGTAATACACTTTTTCATCTTATTGAAGGAAACTTTAAAGAAATTATAATAAAAAATCTTAAGTTTAATATTGCATGGGTGGACACGAATATTGTTAAAATCTACTTTGAAACATTACAATTCCATTTACTTCTGAAATATAGATAAATATATAGTTACTTACCAATGATGCATGCCAGTTAATACTTTTACATTGAAGACCCCTGAAAAACATGTTTTATAGGTTAAGCAAATAGTTTAATATATTTTGATTATGTAAACTATGAATAACCTTACCAAAATATATTCTTTAAGAAAGTATATTTGGTTTACTGTCTATCCTACTGATTATTGTTTTCCAAACTCATTGTTTTAATACTGTCCTGTTTAGCAAAACATACGTAGAAAAACTGATAACCAAACAATCACAATCTTTTACTACTCGAACCTCTTATGTAGTCTGTTCTAAGAGCAGGATGGCGTTCACAATACCCCTTTAAAAATAGAAAACTCAAAAAAAAAGGATCTGAAAATCTAGATTTTTTGTGTCAATTAGTAAAGCAGAGAAATGTTTGGTTTTTCTGTTTATGAACCTCAAGGTTAGTGAATGCAGATGTAACAGCTTCCACTAGTCTCAATTATAAGATAATTTAGCCTCTTGGATAATTTTACTATGCAATTACTAGGAAATATAAAACCTTACACAGCTCACTTGTGTGATGCAATACATTACTCTTGGTAGTAATTTGTATTTTTCCAAATTTTTCATTATTTTAAAATTTTATTTCAGTACTAAAATTTATGGTGACTATTTTTTTGCTGTATTTTTTGAAATAAATTTAAAAAAGCCAAACTGTATTATTTTTAATCAAACTCGAAAATAATTTATAATTATCCTGAAGTGAAAAGAGAGAAATACTCTTAAAATGTTTGAGTTAAGGAATATTGTACTGTAGTTCAATTTCCCTGAGAATGAATAAATTTTGTTTGTTTGTCGTGACGTGGTTGAAATATGATCTCATTAAAATTCATATGAGCTCAAATAAATTAAAATGCCAGCATGAGTTCAATGTTTATATGTTTATGAAAACTGCACGGGGCTATAACATGTTACATTTTGCATTTTAAATCGCCTTGTTGTGAGTTTTGTTTTAGTTTGGGCCATGTTATTCATTACACAGTCTATATAAGGCTCAAAAGGAAGGCTTGTTGTTATTTTCTATGCTTTTGAGACATTGTTAGTGTCTTATAATGATATACGCGTAGCTAAAATAATATTGAAACAGTTTATGTTTGGTTTTGTTCTTCGGTTTCTTCAAGCAGATTTAAACCTCTGGAATGATTCAAATTATTTATTGAAAATAACATTAACAAAAGCAAGCAAAGAGACAGTATGTTTTACACAAAATATTTGTTGTACTGGGTTATCTTTCCTGACACATAGAAAATTTGATCCTCAGTTTGTTTAAATATTACAATAAATGTTTTACATTCGAGATTTTAATGGACTTATCTCTATGGTTTAATCTCTATGGTTATACAATCCACTAGTTGGTTCTTGTTTCTACTATGCAAGTATAAACTTATTATCATACAGTTAAAGCTAATTTTATTTAGTTATAAATTTGATTTAAATCCTGAATAAATTAAAAAGTAAAAGCAGAGATGCAAATATTCACTTTTTTCGATTGTAAAACTGAATAATAATACTTTTTATAGTATGATGACTTGGTTGAAAATCTGGATTTCATCTCACCAAACTTCAATTCACAACTTTGATTTATTGATAATGAATTTGATAATTTTATTGTTCAATTGTTTTAATGATAATTTGTTTTGATAATTTTATTTTATTTTTTATTGTTTCAAGAATGACATAAAATAATCACTTTTTACACAAATAGAGTGATGTAAACGACACTACGGACTGACTTGGCGAGGTATTGATTCACACAGATAACGAACGTTTGATTGATTTCCCACACAAATCCGTTAGTCTGTAATGATATATCGAATCCGCATACTGTTTACCTTTTTTGATTGAACCTAACAAAATGTCCAAAAAACATCGTTTCTTTTTATGTGTATTTAATCTTGTTTTCTCGTTGTTGACATTTATTTTTGAATTAATTGGTATTACAAGATTGATATTTTTTTCAATTTTATAGTAGCTTTCCTTTTATAATTGTACGTGTAAGTGATTTTATAAAAACAGATACGCCACCCATTCTGTATATTACTTATGTAAATATTTTTTTTAAAGATTCAAATACGTATAGACAATTTTACACCAATGTTCTGTCACATTATTTCAAAAAATCTAATACATTTAGATTTTTCTTGAAGATTGCAGTATTCAAAAACTTTAAGTATTATGGTCCTTTATTAGTTCTTTCATTTTTCTGAATCATCATAAAATCCTCAACTAGAATATGGTTTAATAATAATTTTACATCCACTAGAACATAGTTCCATGTCAATAACAAAACTGTTAGAATAGTAATATGTTCAACATACATGTAACACGCCATGTTGTACAAGGACAGTGACCAGGTAATCCTAGCCAATAGCTTGACAACAGATGATGTTTTTGTACCAACTTTAAGTATATTTTTAGACGATACTGATATCGCAATACACTCTCAAGTAACAATGGCGATGGATGAGATTTCCTTGATATCAAGTTTTATAAAAGAATTGTCTTCTATAGAGAGCTATTTTGTAATGAATTTGATGCGGTTAGCTATCTTTGTTGAGTATTTATAATAAAAGTAAGGATTAAAGTTCATGTGTCTGGTTGTTAAGAAAGGTTGTGGATATTTTTTTACAGTTATCAGTTTATCTATATTCCGTCAGGAAACATGGGACACGAGGTGCCAAACCGTGTGCAGAAAAATACATTGAAATAGTTAAATCGAATAGTTAGTAATCAAATAGTTAAAAAGAGTGCAAGTTAATTTCGAGCCACCCACATGGTTATTTGGATTTGAGACGTTTTAGGGTGTCATTTTGTTATAAGTAGTCCGATTTTAGCTTTCTTTAGTCAATTGTTTAGTTTTGTCAAGACCTGTAAAATGATACCAAACTTGACTATACTTGCAATTTGAAAATTTTGAGCTACCCCCTATCCCCGCTACCCATAAGGGCGACATTTTCCAAACTAACCATAATTATTGTAGCCCCTCATTTCTAAGAAGGTTGCCGCAAACCGATTTCAGATATCTCAAAAGGTTTAAAAGTGAAGGGAGGGTGCAAGTTACTTTTCAGCCACCCTGTATATGAGTTTGTCCTACCATAAAATTACATTTGTACCTTTACCTATAACTAAGTATCTTTATTTAGTTTTATTTAAACATTTTTTTTAATTTTTTTTTTAATTTTGAAAGATTTTAAAAATTAAACTCAAACCAAAAAGAAGTCTTTACATTTCCGTTATTTGACTATGCAAGCGATATTTGGAAATGTTATTAAATGTTATATTTGTTTTATTTTATGATCAAGAAGTTATTCAAAATTTATAACCAGCATCATCTTTTCCCATCCTCTTTCACATCGTCCCCAAAGAACCACATCTGATAAAAACGCTGCATTTGCAAGTCTAACAAGCCATTCAAATACGGCGATATTATCTCCACGACGCTTTTTAGTATTATATTCGTTTGTTAGCTTTTGCTGTTTTCAGAATCACTTTGCTTATTATAGTAAGAAATATCTTCGAGACTGGTTTTAGGGAAGAACTGTTATAAGTCCTTTTTATAACGGATGTAAGTACAATTTTTATATTACGTTTAAGTTTAGTTGTTTTAATAAATTACGATTGTTAAAGGATAACTTTATCAATGCTTTTGAATTGTTTATTGGCCACTGTTGGGTAGCTAGCAACACGTTTTACTAAAAGTGAGATAATTGAGCTAGATCTATTAATACGTAACAAGACCAAGAAGAGATTTTACCAACAATGCTATGCATTTACTATTTATATTTTAAATGAATAATTTAAAGCATGTTTTATAGTTTTACCATAGAACCACTTATAACAAAGTGGTGGTAGTAGAAATCCCCCGCATTGAGCCCCGCGTTCTGATTGGTCGAGAGCTCGATGACGTCACAAAGATGGCGGAAGGAGTAGGGCAAAAAGTGTTTGGCGGGAGCTGGGATGGAACCTGGTCCGGCGGCATGAGAAGCCGAAACGCTAACCACTGAGCCACGGCGCTCGATGTTAGACTTTGTGTCGAGGTCGTATACGAGGGCCGGCTTCGAGGGCCGGCATCGGGGGTCGGTATCGTGGATGTTTTTTTTTTTCTTTGGCACGAGATGATCGTGGTTCTGCTTTTCTCCACCAGAGTGTGCTGATATCGTCTGTTTTGGGAAAAAAAGGTGGTTCCGTCCTTCTCCACCAGAGTGTGTTGATACCTAGGTCGACTGGTCTCTAAACCTATTGTTTTTGTTTATGGTTGTATTAAATTGATTGTGGTTCTGCTTTTGTCCACCAGAGTGTGTTGGCACTGTTTGATGTATTTTGTGACTATCTCAGATTATACAATATGTTATTGTTATAGTTGTACCAACTTGGATGTTTCATAGTCCTACCCTCAGGCAAACTAATAATATTTCTGGTATATTATTTGCCTTGACTTATATGTTATTATCATAGTGATACCAACTTAATTATTTCATAAGCGTAGGTTAAACAATCAATGTTGATTACAAATTTGCAATAATATGTATAACAAAATGTTCTATACCATCTTTTATATTTTACTGTAATCTAAACTGTTTACCATTATATGTTACTAACTGCACTAGTTTTGCTAATATAATTAGTTGTTGTTGTTATTATATATATATATATATATGTAATTTATCAAACTTGAGAGATATCTGGGTTTTAAGGAATGAAACTACAGCATACATATACAAATAATGTTTCTTTTTATTTAAAAAATAGTAAATTTATGCTTCTACCAGACATCCCTGTACATTTCAATCGAAACCCCCCTTTATTAAAATTTTCAATCTGCTCGTCTGAGAGATGGGTCACAAAACGCTGAGGGAGAAATGTTATTGCTGGTCCTCCACCATCAGGTAAGGTTATCTCAGCAACGACTGATGGTCCAAATTTGCTGTCCGTTCTCTTCATAGATGTTATAGGGTATCCTTCTTTAGCAGTGAGCTCCTTACAGCTGTATTTTGGAGGTCCCTCATACTTTTCCAATTCAGCCAA